CCTGTGTCTCCTTGTGCCCCAGGTACCTCCTGACCAGCTTCTACACCAAGTATGACCCTGCACACTTCTTGGTGAACACAACCTCTTTGCTCAGCGTCCTCCTGCCCAAACTGCCCCAGTTCCATGGTGTCCGTATCTTCGGCATCAACAAGTACTGAGGCCCATGCAGGAACCCCTCCAGCTCCACTAGGTTCTGGGGAGGGTTCCTCCAGCCCAGAGCTGCTCCATGGATCCCGTTCCTCTGGTTGGAATTCAACCAAATCCATCTCAAAGGCATTTGCTACCTTTAACACCTAGTTTCCAGCCAGGACCCACTTGGACACTCACGTGGGGGCAGCACCCCTCAAATCCAGCCCCCCACATCCACCCACAGCTCCTTGCTGGGAAAGGGATGAAGGTCCCTCAAGCAGCTGAGAGGCAGGAAAAGCTAGCCTGGGCTCTGGCATTGGGAGGAGGAGAGTAACAAAGAGGGATGAGCAACTTCAAAACACTATGTGAGGGGCACTGGTGTGGCACCGGGTGTTTGTACCTCTGTCTCTGGCTGTGTGTATCCCCCCCCCCCGCCCGGTTCCCTTGGGAAGCCCTAGAGTATTTAAAAGGAATTCTAAAAAGGAAAAATAGAGCTTTGCTTATTGGAAAGAGCCCTTGGAGTGCCTGGCCCAGAGCCACCCTCAGCGCTGCAGCGGCCGACGCAGCTTCTTCCGCCTCTTGTGCCTCATGTCCCCCTTGGGTGCAGCCCCCTTGGCCTTGGGGGTACCCCCAGGAGGGGCTGCAGCTGCCGGGGGGGTGGAGGGTGGCGGGAAGGGTCCCCCCGGCCCTGAGCTGCTCTGAAAGATGCGGGTGAAGAAGTCCTGCAGGTCATCAGCCGAGGGGGTGCTGCCCTTGGGTGCACTCCTGCAGTGGGGGGGGGAAGTGGGGTTTAGGGGTGCTGCAGGTGAGGCTGGCGCACCCTCACCCAGCAGTGCAGGACACTGACCTGTGGCGCCCAGTGCCCCGTGGTCCAAAGGAGAGGTGATAAGGAACGCGGTGGGTGTCTGGGGAGATGCCCACACGCTGGCACCCTGCCCACTCTGCAGGAGGCAAGCGGGCACTGGTCACACCAGGGTGGTTGGCAGCACCACAGGCACCATACAGGGGGACACCCACCTGTGATGTCATAGATCTTCCCATCCATCATAGCAAAGTAGGTGATCTTCAGCCCCAGGAGGCTGGACTCTGCCCACAGATCACCCTCCTCGGCTGCGTGCAAGCGGCCGCACTCCGCGCAGTACCGGGCACTCAGCGGGTCCCGGTTCATCTCGAACCGCCTGTGGTTGGGATGGGTGAGGACAGGCATTGCTGGGCTTGGCCCTGGCTTCAGGTCCACCTCCCCCAGTACCCACCGGTGCTTTCCCTGGCACTTGCTGCACATCATGGTGTTCATGGCCTCGCGCAGGTCCTCCTGAAGCCGCCGCAGGAACTCACCCACCGAGCGCGGCAGCTCATGCTGTGCCATCCACTTCCTGCGCCAGGGAGGAATCAGGGCTCAGACCCGCGGCACAGAGCCAGGATACAGAAAGACCCTTCAAAATCCCCTTTTGCTCACATCTCAAACTCCCTCCGGCGCTCAGGACTGCTGACTACGTCCCAGGCTGCCTGCAGCACCTTGAATGCTGCCTCTGCCCGGGGGTGCTCATTCTTGTCTGGGTGAACCTGGCATGGAGAAAGTGGGAACCTCAACACTGCAGCCCCAGGTGGGGGCACAGAGACACCCCCACCCCGGTCCCACTCACCAGCACGGCCAGGCGGCGATAGGCCCTCCTCAGCTCGGTGTCCGACGCTGTCACCTCCACGCCCAGCACGTGGAAGGGGTTCAGCTCCTCCTCGGGCACCTCGGCCATGGCCAGCAGCCGGGTCACCTCCTCGCCGCGGTCCTCGGGCGCCGCAATCCCCGTCTCACCCGCGGCTCCCGCCCAAGGGGGACCCCGGCACGGCCTCAACCAGACCCAGAGCAGCCCCCACGTCCTGCGGAGCGCGGCCACGTCCAGGAGCCGGCTACCAGCTGCGCACTGGAGCGCGGCGGCGCCGGCGCGGCCGCAGAGCCGCAGGCAACCCAGTAGCAGCATGAGCAGCAGCAGCAGGAGCGCCAGGAGCATCCAGAGCAGGCGGAGGCCGAGCCGTGCCGCGGCGCGCAGGCACCGCGCTGCCCGCAAGGACCCGCTCCGGGCGCGCTGCCCTACGGCGCGGCCCCAGCCCCGCACCGAGCCCGGCTCCACGGCTCTGAGGCGGCAGCAGGAGCAAAGCAGCCGGCCCCTGGCCTCCGCCGCCAGCCTGCGGGCCTGGAGCAGCGGCTCCCGCCACCCAGCCGCGGCCTCGGCCCCGCGGCTCCTCCTCCGCGGCGGCTGCGGCCGCTTCCCCTCCCGCCTGCTCCCCTCCTCCTTCTCCTTGAGCGCCGCGCGCTGCCGCTGCCGCCGCCGGGGACGCCGGAGCCCGTCGTCCTCCTCCTCGTCCTCCTCCTCCTCCTCGGCCGCGGCACTCGGGGCAGCGGCCGGTTCCTCCCGGCAGCAGCGCTCGGGAACTGGGTCGTGCTCGCAGTCCCCGTCCTCCTCCTCCTCCCGGCCGGCAGCCGCTGCCCACCCGCAGCTCCCGTTCCAGCCCGCCCTGTCCCAGCCGCGGCGGCCACCGGTGACCCCCTGCTCCTGAAGGCTCCCACCGGAGCCGTCGCCTCCTTCAGCCGCCACCGCCGCTTCCCGATGCCGCGGCTGCTCCATCCCGGCGGCCCCACTGGCCCCGGACGGGCTTAAGTCACAGCCATGTCCTGAAGGGCCAGAGCGGGGTCAGCGCCGACAGAGCGGCCCCGGGACCCCCGACCGGCCCTGAGCACCCCCCGTTGCCACTGCCCCCCCAAGGGCCGGTGCTCGGGCCCCACTTCAGGACCTGTGGGAAGATCCGGGTCTCACCGTGCCGGTACGGGCGGGGGGGGGGGGGGTCCGCCACCTCCCCCCCCCGGTTTGCGTCCTGCAGCACTTCCGCCTTCCGCCACGGCCCACTCCCAGAGCCGGGGCCTGGAGCCGGAGCGTACCCGCTCCTAACCCCGCCCCTTAAAGGGGCAGCACCGTGTCCCCCCCCGTAACCGCGGGAGGGGCCCATCCCGCTCTCGGGGGTCCCGGTCCCGCCCCCGCCCCACCGCGACCCCCGTGGCCGGCAGCGAGCGGGTGAGTCCCGGGGAGGGTGGGCACCGAGCGGGGATCCCCGTCCGGCCCCCCCCCCCCCCCCAATGCCCCCGGTGTGGTGTCCCCCAGAGCTCCCGGTTTCCCTCCCGGTGCTCCTGTTCCCAGCGCTCCCACCTCCCCTGCCCCAGGGGCTCGCACTTTCCCCCAGATGTTCTCCCCAGGAGGCGCTGCCAGATGTGGGTGCGGGGAGGAAGGGCTGAGTACCGGGGGAGGTCACTGGGGGCTCACAGACACCCATTCCCCCCCAGGCCCAGGTCATGGACCCCGGCCCCTACCTTGTGCCCTGCTGCACCCTGGAGCCGCGGCCCCACTAAGAACTGGTCCCCACTGTTCCCTGTGCTTGGAGTGCTCCTGGGGCTCGTGTGCGGCTGTTTCGGTGAGTGCCGGGGGGCAGAGCTGGGGGTGGAGCTGGGGCTCACTTGGGGGGAAACACAAGCCCATGGAGGGGGTTGTGCTGGGGCACAGGGGGGACAAAGGTGTTCTGGGGGACACAGCCAGGAGGGGTGGCACGGGGACAGTGCAGGGCACGGGCATGGCAGCACCAGTGACTGTCTTATGCCGGTGCCAGGCTACCGCTGCTTCAGGGCCATCATGTTCCTCTCAGGGCTGGTGTTCAGCACCGCTGTCAACTTCATGCTGTGCTACGGGCAGTGGGTGCTGGGGATGCTGCTGGGGCCGTCAGCAAGCGCAGGTATCGCGCCGCCCATCGGGCTGCTCACTGCGCTGCTGTGCAGCATTGGGCTCTTCATCATGGGGCTGCTGCTGGCCGCAGCCACACTGGCCATGGCCGCACCGGTGCTGCTGCCGAGCTCCTGGGTGCCGCTGAGCATGGCACTGATGCTCCTCTGCGTGCTCCAGGTGCTGCGCTGGATCAAGGGGGCTACTGTGGTGGCCACAGTGGCACTGGGAGCCGCCGCTGTCCTGGTGGGTGCTGATTACTTTGTGGAGGCGCTGGTGCTGTTTGTGTGTGAGCAGCTGCGGTGAGCACTGGCGCGGTGCTGGATGGGCTGGGCCCTACTGGGAGGCTGGGCCCTGCTCCAGTGCTGCTCCAGTGGAGGATCATGGCCCGTGGCTGCGCACTTAGCACCAGTGAGTGGGGGAACACAAGGAGCACATGCTGCCCATGGGGCCTGTGAGGGGACGGGCAACGTGACAGTGGGATGGGAACAGGATGGGGAAGGGACTGGGATGGGATGAGGATAAGGCTGGGATTTTGACGATGATGAGGTCAGGATGGGGAAGGAACTGGGATGTGGATGGGATAGGGATGGGAATTGGGATGGGGACCCACTGGGGCTCGATTCATTCCCACAGCCCCCTGCAGCTCTTGGCAGCAGCAGCTCCTGTGGCAGAAAGAGACTGAGAGTCAGATGAACCCGACTCCCTCTGAGGACCCCCACGTGTGGCACACAGCCGCCAGTGAGCCTGTGCTTGGTGGGCTGAGCAGGGCCTGCAGGGGACGATCCCCCCACGTGCCTTCTCCTTTAAATACGCAAATGAGGTGCTATATTTCCCACCCTAATCACGTCCTGGTCATGGTGTGGGCAGGGCTTCAGGGACCCTTCCCATAGGGCAAATCCCCAGCCCTCCCTAGTGCTGCCTGCCCCATAACCTGCCTCCCCCTACCAAAAACTCCTTCAAAACAAAGCCCCACTTCTATTTTTGTAAGACCTACCCAAACACTGCCATGGGACCAACCCCTCCAGTTCCCCCCAAAGCCTCAACCCTATGCTGGGGGGTCTTACCCTGCCATGGGGCTCCCAAAGGACAACCCCATGGACCAGGAGCTGCTGACGCTGGGGCTCTGCTGGGTTTATTGTCACCGGGGTTTGAAACAAGGCCGGGACAAGGCCACGACACGGAACATGAAGGGCTGGGCAGGGAGGGGGCCACACAATGAGACCCCCCCAATAAAATAAAACAGGAAATAAAAAAGAAGAGGGATAAAGGGAGAAGCGTCCAAGCGCTGCTGCGTTCCCAACAGTGGGAACAACCATTCCAATACCCCCCCCACACCCCCTGATTCCCCCCCTTATGAGTCCCTCTCCAGGCCCCGCAGTTCCTCCTCCAGCGTTTTCCTCCGGCTCAGCTTCTCAAGCTGCTCGCGGGTGGGATTTGGGACCTCACCAGCGTCCAGGCGCTGCTGCAGTTCCTCTACCTGCCGCAACTTCTTCCGCAGGTTCTTCAGCCTCCGGCTCCTCTCTGAGGCCGGAGCATCACCGGGGCTGGTGCCAGGGCTCATGATGGGGCTGGTGGCGCCACAGCCGGGCAGCGGCTCCGACAGTGCCGAGCGCTCCAGTGCCTGAATCAGTTCATCCGTGTCCCGCTCCCCCTTTTCCTGCTGCTGCTTCCTCTTCTCCTTCCGTTTCAAGTTCCGTTTGGCTGCCTTGGACAGTCCTGTGTCGCCAGGCTCTGCTTTCCCGGGTGCTGCTGCTGCCTCTGGGTTCAGCCCTGGTGGCAGCTCGGGTTTGCTCCGGAAGAACTTGACATATTTGTTTTCGTACCTGCATGGGGGGAAGAGCCTGTGAAGGCTCTGTGTGGCCCCCACAGTGGTGCCACAAACCCCTGGTCCCAGGAGCCAGCCCCATGCCACCGGTGAAGCCTCTCCAAAGCTCCGTGCCCGCAGGGGGATCAATACGTACCGGGCAGGACACGGTTATGGGACAGGGGTGAGGGGGTCGGAATCGCACGGGCACCTGGAAAGAGACTTGGAGCTCAAGATGTCACCGGGGATGGAGGGAACGGGATGGGACGTGGCCCACGCGTGGCACCGGGGACACGGACACCCTCACTTACACCGGCACCTCCTCCTGTGGCACGTAACCGGCCTTCACCCGCCGCTGCTTCCGCCACGTCCCGTCTGGGCGCTGTGTCGAGGCAATGTACTTCCCTGTGGGGTACCACACAGTCAGCCCCGGATATGGGGCATCCAACAAGGGCCCTGGGACACCCCACGGACACCATGGGGCATCCCACAGACCCACAAGGGCCCTGAGACACCCCGAAGGAACCCCCTGGTCTGCGGGGCCCCCCATGGACAGCAAAAGACACCCTACAAGACAACCTACACACCCCATGGGACACCCTACGGAACCCAAGGGGGCTTTGCGGCCCCCCACGAGTCCCACGGGACCCCACGAGGACCGGGGCGAGGGAGCACGAGGCTGCACTGACCCATCCCCACAACTACGGGGGAGGTGCCCCATAGCGAGCGGCAGTGGGGGGGGCTGGAGTGCCGACAGAACCCCACAGACAGTGTAGGCAGCCTCCGCCAAAGGGGCCGGGGCATGCCCCACAAGGACCGCGGGTGGGCGCTGCCCTATGGAGCGGGGGGGGGGCCGCCCATGCCACAGCTCCCGGTCCGGTCCCTCAGCGCCGGGTCCGCCCCAAAGCGCCGGGTCCTGCCCAACAGCCCCGGGCCGTGCCCCACAGCGCCAGGCCCTGCCCCATACCCCGCGTCCTGCCCCATAGCCCGCGTCCTGCCCCACAGCGCCGGATCCGGCCGCGCCGCACTCACCGGTCTCATCAGTCACATAGGGAGTCGCCATCTTGCGAGCACGACACACTTCCGGCCTGCAGGCCCCGCCCCGGACGTTATTGGCGGCTGTAGGGCGTGGCCTCGAAGGGGCGTGGCTCACCCTTGGGGTTAATCAAAGGAGGCGGAGCTAATTAGGGTCAATTAAAGGGGCGGAGCTAATTGGGGTTAATTATAGTGGGGTTTCAGTCAGGTCTCATCTTCGCGTTTGCTCCAGCCATGGGAGGCACCGCAGGCTTCAGCCAGGTCTGGCGCCACTTCACTTTGGCTTCCCTGCACCGTGCCCCTCTGGGTCCTAAAGCTCGACCACAGGAGATCAAATCCCACACTGGAGTGGCCTTGGGGAGACCATCTTCCCTGTATTCCATCTAACTCTTGCCTCTAGTACTTTAAAGCCATTCCCCTTGTCCTGTCCCTCCATTCCTTACCTAAAGCCCCTCTCCAGGTTTCCTGCAGCTCCTTTAGGCACTGGGAGCTGCTTTGAGATATCCCCTTCAGGAGCCTTCTCTTCCCCAGGCCGACCCAGCACAGCTCAGCCTGGCTCCAGAGCAGAGCTGCTCCTGATCATCTCTGCGGCCTTCTCTGGCATCACTCTAGCTGCTCTATCTTCTGAGGAGCTCTTGGGCACCCCAAACCCCACCCCTAAAGTTGGTGGAACTTGCAGAGTTCACACTGTGGAATAGTCCTACCTTCCCAGGACTGTTGGCGATGAGGCAGAGCAGAGGTGGGGATGTTAAGGGGGGTGACACAACATTAGGGACACCCAAAACCACCCGAAAGACCTTTTCTGCTTTAAAATGAGGCTTTTTTAAAACCTTTTAATGATTTTTATTTTTGCTGTACAATGCGGGTTTTAAAATGAAGATTTTTGCCTTAAAATGATTTTTTTTTTTTGCAGTAAAATTAAGACCAGTCAGAACATGATCATCGTGATCACTATGGGGTCTCTATGAGTCTCTATCTATTGCTATGCGCCTCTGTGGGCCTGTGGGGCTCTGTGAGCTTTTCTGGCTCGCTATTGGGCATCTAAAAATTTTTTTTTTACTAAAAAGAACTGAAAAGCAAAGAAATCTGAAGAAAAAAATTAATAAAAACCCAAATCAATAAAGACATAAAGACAATAAAAAGCAAAAGAGAATAATGTGTTTCTAAATTATTACAAAGCAAATAAAAAAGGAATAGGTGTGAGCAAGCCTGAATGAATCTTGAATAAAAGTGACTGAAAGTTCATAAAAATGAATGAAAGCCAATAAAAAAATCAATTGGTATTGTGGTACTTACGGGGTGCGATGGGGTAGTGGGGGCCCTATGGGGCACTTGGGGACCCCTCACAGGGCTCTTGGGCATCTCTATAGGGCACCATGCCATTGAGGATGCTGATGATGTCATCTCAGTCCCAGTGACATCATGACACCATAAATCAATAGATGCCATGGGGTGCGTGTTGTGCATGTGTAGGAACTATGGGGCATTGAGGAGTGGGCCTATGTAGTGCTATCTGACAGTGCATGGTAGCACAGCGAAGTATGAGGCTCACTATTGATGATCTTCTGGCCTCTGCACTGGATCACGATCAGATAACTAAAAAAAAAAAAAAGTTACCGAAGAGCCAGGAGGGAAAGCATGTGCTGGGCATCTTCAGCACACAGTGAGCTTTGCAACGGTGTCACCATCATTGCTACCGCTCCTTGATTTCATACCTAAAAGTGCATTTGAATGCAAATTGCTCTCCTTTCACACCTAAAAGTCCATTTGAATCCCGTATCTCTGTTGCCAACTCTCGGCTGCTCAGCAGCACAGCGAGTAGAGCATGAACATTTGGCCTCTGCTCCCATGCCCAGCAGACAGTCAGCTTTGCAATAGTGCACAGCCTCTCCGAGGTTACCCGGCAGCACAGAAAGTAGAGCATGAACGTGTGGCCTCTGCTCCCACAGCCAAAGAGCCAGGAGTTAAATCTGCTGCTGGGAATCTTCAGCACACAGTGAGCTTTTCAAGGGTGTCACCATCATTGCAGTTGCTCCTAGGTTTCATTGTCTTTGAATGCACCCTCTCCGGACCTCGCTTTCCCAAGTCCATTTGAATGCAACTCTCCAATGCTTGCTCTCAGCAGCACAGTGAGTAGAGCACGAACGTCTGGCCTCTGCTCCCACAGCCGAAGAGCCATGAGGGAAAGCATGTGCTGGCATCTTCAGCACACCGTCCGCTTGGCAACGATGTCACCATCATTGCTGTCGCTCCTTGCTTTCATACCTAAAAGTCCATTTGAATGCAACCTCTCCAAAGCTTGCTCTCGGCTGCCCAGCAGCACAGCGAGTAGAGCACAAACGTCTGGCCTCTGCTCCCAGAGCCGAAGAGCCAGGAGGGAAAGCATGTGCTGGGCATCTTCAGCACACAGTCAGCTTTGCAACGGTGTCACCATCATTGCTGTCGCTCCTCACTTTCATACCTAAAAGTGCATTTGAATGTACCATCTCCGGAGCTTGCTCTCGGCTGCCCAGGAGCACAGCGATTAGAGCACGAACGTCTGGCCTCTGCTCCCAGAGCCGAAGAGCCAGGAGGGAAAGCATGTGCTGGGCATCTTCAGCACACAGTCAGCTTTGCAACGGTGTCACCATCATTGCTGTCGCTCCTCGATTTCATACCTAAAAGTGCATTTGAATGCAACCTCTCCGGAGCTTGCTCTCGGCTGCCCAGGGGCACAGCGATTAGAGCACGAACGTCTGGCCTCTGCTCCCAGAGCCGAAGAGCCAGGAGGGAAAGCATGTGCTGGGCATCTTCAGCACACAGTCAGCTTTGCAACGGTGCCTCCATCATTGCTGTCGCTCCTCGGTTTCATACCTAGAAGTGCATTTCAATGCACGCTCTCCCCAGCTTGCTCTCGGCTGCCCAGGCGCACAGCGATTAGAGCACGAACGTCTGGCCTCTGCTCCCAGAGCCGAAGAGCCAGGAGGGAAAGCATGTGCTGGGCACCTTCAGCACACAGTCAGCTTTGCAACGGTGTCACCATCATTGCTGTCGCTCCTCGGTTTCATACCTAAAAGTGCATTTGAATGCAACTTCTCCTGAGATGGCTCTCGGCTGCCCAGCAGCACAGCGAGTAGAGCACGAACGTCTGGCCTCTGCTCCCAGAGCCGAAGAGCCAGGAGGGAAAGCATGTGCTGGGCATCTTCAGCACACAGTCAGCTTTGCAACGGTGTCACCATCATTGCTGTCGCTCCTCGGTTTCATACCTAAAAGTGCATTTGAATGCAACTTCTCTGGAGCTTGCTCTCGGCTGCCCAGCAGCACAGTGAGTAGAGCACGAACGTCTGGCCTCTGCTTCCAGAGCCGAAGAGCCAGGAGGGAAAGCATGTGCTGGGCATCTTCAGCACACAGTCAGCTTTGCAACGGTGTCACCATCATTGCTGTCGCTCCTCGGTTTCATACCTAAAAGTGCATTTGAATGCAACTTCTCCGGAGCTTCCTCTCGGGTGCCCAGGAGCACAGCGAGTAGTGCACGAATGTCTGGCCTCTGCTCCTAGGGCCGAAGAGCCAGCAGGGAAAGCATTTGCTGGGCATCTTCAGCACACAGTCAGCTTTGCAACGGTGCCTCCATCATTGCTGTCGCTCCTCACTTTCATACCTAGAAGTCCATTTGAATCCAACCTCTCTGGTGGTTTCTCTTGGCTGCCCAGCAGCACAGCGAGTAGAGCACGAACGTCTGGCCTCTGCTCCCAGAGCCGAAGAGCCAGGAGGGAAAGCATGTGCTGGGCACCTTCAGCACACAGTCAGCTTTGCAACGGTGCCTGCATCATTGCTGTCGCTGCTCACTGTCACACATGAAAGTGCGTTTGAATGCAACTTCTCTGGAGGTTGCTCTCGGGTGCCCAGCAGCACAGCGAGGAGAGCACGAACGTTTGGCCTCTGCTCCCAGAGCCGAAGAGCCAGGAGGGAAAGCATGTGCTGGGCATCTTCAGCACACAGTCAGCTTTGCAACGGTGTCACCATCATTGCTGTCGCTCCTCGGTTTCATACCTAAAAGTGCATTTGAATGCAACCTCTCCGGAGCTTGCTCTCGGCTGCCCAGGAGCACTGCGATTAGAGCACGAATGTGTGGCCTCTTCTCCCAGAGCCGAAGAGGCAGGAAAGAAAGCATGTGCTGGGCATCTTCAGCACACAGTCAGTTTTGGAACGGTGTCACTATTATTGCTGTCGCTCCTCGGTTTCATACCTAAAAGTGCATTTGAATGCAACCTCTCTGGAGCTTGCTCTCGGCGGCCCAGCAGCACAGCGATTAGAGCACGAATGTCTGGCCTCTGCTCCCAGAGCCGAAGAGCCAGGAGGGAAAGCATGTGCTGGGCAACTTCAGCACGCAGTCAGCTTTGCAACGGTGTCACCATCATTGCTGTCGCTCCTCTCTTTCACACCTAGAAGTCCATTTGAATCCAACCTCTCTGGTGGTTTCTCTTGGCTGCCCAGCAGCACAGCGAGTAGAGCACGAACGTCTGGCCTCTGCTCCCAGAGCCGAAGAGCCAGCAGGGAAAGCATGTGCTGGGCATCTTCAGCACACAGTCAGCTTTGCAACGGTGTCACCATCATTGCTGTCGCTCCTCGGTTTCATACCTAAAAGTGCATTTGAATGCAACCTCTCCAGAGCTTGCTCTCGGCTGCCCAGTAGCACAGCGATTAGAGCACGAACGTGTGGCCTCTTCTCCCAGAGCCGAAGAGCCTGGAGGAAAGCATGTGCTGGGCATCTTCAGCACACAGTCAGCTTTGCAACGCACCACATTGCTCGCTCCTCATTTCATTAAAAGTGCAACGGTGCCCAGCACACAGTCAGCTTTGCACAGTGTGAGTAGCAGCCCATCATTGCTGTGCTGGGCACCTTCAGCACACAGTCAGCTTTGCAACGGTGTCCTCCATCATTGCTGTCATACCTAAAAGTGCATTTGAATGCAACCTCTCCGGAGCTTCTCTCGGCTGCCCAGGAGCACAGCGATTACTGCACGAACGTCTGGCCTCTGCTCCCAGAGCCGAATAATCAGGAGGGAAAGCATGTGCTGGGCATCTTCAGCACACAGTCAGCTTTGCAACCGTGTCACCATCATTG